ACCTGCAAATATTTCCCACATTAACATCCCAACACTATAAATATCAGATTCTTTTGTGTTCTTTTTGCCTCTAAGTAGCTCAGGTGCAACATATGATACAATCCCATAGACTTTATCTGATGATTTTTCATCAACTGGCCCACATAATCCCAAATCTGTAATGTAACAATTACCTTTATCTATTAATATATTACCACTATGTAGGTCACAATGCATGAAATTATTTATATGTATATGATATAATGAATTACATAAATAATAAAATATTGTAATTCTGCCTTTTAATGTCAAATTTAAATGATTTTTCTGCAAATAATCCCTTAAATTTCCCTCTGATAAATAATTTAAAACAATTGCATGATTTGGGAATTTAGTTATACCATAGCAAGAAACAATCATCCCTGATTTAATTTTAAAATAATTCATTGCCTGAAATGAATATAAAATCAATTAGTATTATATAATAAATATTTATTTTTGTTTTAAATGGCAATTACCAACCTCATCAAAAAAGTATTTTCCTAGATTATTTGAATCATTTAAATTTTTTAATACTACTTCTTGCCTTCCAAAATAACCAAATTCTTTTTTATTTTCATCATAATCAATTATTCTTCCTCTTGTCCATGTAGCAGTAAAAATTGAACTAAATCCACCTTCAGTTAACTTTGTTACATCATCAAATTGCTCAAAAGGTATCCATTCTAAAATAAATCTTGGCAAAGATGATTTCATTTGACATTGTTGAATAAAATCATCAACTATGTTATTCCCAGATGTCCAAGTGGTGAAAAGACCCTGTAATTGTAAACTAATGCAACCTTCACAGAATCTAACAGAATATCTTGTTGATTTACACTTATTACATTCTTTTGGTTTGCCCCATTTATCTCTTGCATTTCTTAATTCAAACTCATAAATAAATCTTTCTTTACAACATTTTTTTTCATTTTCAGAAAGCTTTTTGTTTTTTTTGACTAATAAAAAAACCCCCTTTTTCTTTTTTCTCTGAAAGAATCAACCATTGCATTATTATATATTTCATTATAAATTTTAAATACAAATTCCTCTCTTTCTGATGTTAAGAATTTAACATGTGACATTATAAATAAATGTTTTTATATGATTTAAATTTCAACTTGGAGAGTAGAGAAAATGATATTTTTTTTGTGTTTGAGAAAAACACTAGTCCGTTTATTTATTACAATTAATATTATTTCCTTTTGCAGGAAATTGTATTATTAGTATTGACACCCATGACATAAATAATAATAATGTTAATTTTTTGCCGATTTCTCGAATTATTTTGATTTTTGGCGCATTTTCACCTTATTTGGCCAATTTTACGTTGTACGTAAAAGAGTGCTTTGCTTGCTATTATCTTATTACATGATGCTAATAATTCGTATTGTTGAAGAGAAGATTTTGCCACTATTAAAAGAAATTGACCAAGTCTTTTTAGGAATAACTCGTAGAATTTTGAAAATAATTGCCATCATTAATCGTTCAAATTCATCAACGACATTGAAACTTCGTCAGGAGTGAATGAGTGAGTGAATGAGTACTTTAGAAGAAATAATGAAAAACAAAATGCCGTATTTGTCATATAATTGAATATCATCAAAAAAATTTAAATTATCAACGATTAAAATTTATTGAAAGCTATTGCTATCATTACCGAATGCAATGTGGTGGGGGTGTACATATACAAAAACTATGCTATTCCTATAGGGGATTGCTTAACAGTTGGTTCCGTGGGAACAATCATCCTCACGTGCATTGCTGTGTTTAAAAATCTGACAACTTTGTAAATGAAGAGGATGTTTATGATGCCTAATATTATTCTATTATTATTTATTATAAAACCGCAGTTTATTCTTGCTAGCCATATGGACTTATTATTATTTATTTAGCAAACTGGTAGTGGTACACATTTTCTAAACAAGGATTTTTTTAACCAATCATCTTTCGAATTCACATTAACATGATCAGGTGCTCCTTTATTATTATAAATATGGATGGACCAATTATAAGAGAATTAGGGTTATTCAAAGATTCGAAAAAGGTAATAAAAAATTGGTATAAATAAATTTATTTTTCGTTTTCACAAATAGGAGATAAATTTTTTAAAAAAAAAAATGTCGGAAAATTCTGATTATGTTTTCTTATTTTCTGAATCTAACGCAACACACTTTCAAGATTATACTGGTTCACAACCACCAAGTTATGAAGAAGCAATTAATGGTTCATTAGACCCCACCAGTGTAACTATTAACCCTTTACTTAATCCCAGCAACAACGGGAGAAGTGTTAATGACGGTCCAACTAGACAGCAAACATCTGATGAACATTTACCACCTCCGCCTGAATACAATCTTTCTGATGCTAAATTTAAGAGAACTTCTGAAGGTGTTACCACATGTGAACCAAAGCTGAATAGAGAGCCAGAATCATTATATAGATTCATGCTTGCACATAACGATAAGCCTAACATGGCTATAAAGATACATGGTTATCATTATGAGACAAGACATTATACCTATACTTACACTGATGCAAATGGTAATATTCAATATGGAACTCGTAGTGAAACTTATGTGGTTACGGATTTTTTGATTACAATAGATTTATCTGAATATGTTTTACCAAATGGAACAATTCATGCAATTCCAAATAAAAAAAATCCAGATCCTCAAATAATGGACATTGTCAATGAATACATTAATCATGAAAACAAACTAAAAGAATTTATTATGAAAAAAACAGTATTATGGGACTATCAATCTTTGACAAAAGCAATATCAACGTCAATTCGTCTACATGGATTTCATAGATTTTTGGAAATAACTTATCCACTTCAAAATCATAAAGTAAAAGTTCAATCGGATCATAAATTTGCAAAATTTACCAGAAACACTTTTACACAAGTTTTATGTGTTGTCACCTGTGTTTGTATAGTTTTTTGGCCTTTGTTCTGGTTATATAAAAAATCATTTAAAAACCAAATTAGAAGTGATTTTTGTATGTCCATATCAACAAGAGATTGGTATGATAAACACATATATTATATCCTTGGCGAAATCAGAAATCAATAATTTGTTTGTTTGTTTGTTTATTTATTTATTTATTTATTTATTTATATGTAACAACAATATTTAATTTAAAAAATAAAATGATTTATTAATAATACAGTCAGGGAATATGCTAAATATGGAAGAAAAATTTGTCAATCAATTCATATATATTACAAATGGTCTTCTGTATATGCTAAACAAAAAATTTTTTAATAAAATTCATATATAAAAGTCGAAACAAATTCTTCTGAATATATAATCGAGGAACACTTAGGATCACTGTAAAATTTACAAGATATAATAAGTTATTAATTCTATTAAAAATATATAATAATGATAATGATATAGATTTTTTTATTAATACTATATTGAAATGCTCTTTTAAAATATTAAAAAGTTTAAGTTCTTTATATTGCGAATTGGAAAAAATCTCTCAAGCAGGAATCAGAAAATTAGATGGAATAATAAACTAGAAAAGTTGGAATCAATTTCAGATCAATTTGAGTCATACATGGTCTTTTGACTGAGAAAAATCAAATCAATTAATATTAATTGGGTTCCTGGAAAATTTTGTAAAGATAGTGAATGTTTAGGTTCATCTTGTTCTCCCTTGATATAAGGCTCTTTTAGCTAGCTCTTTGTCAAATATCTTCATCAGATGATGAGATTTTAAAACGAATCAAATTGGTGGTTAATCAAAAAATAATAGATAAATTAGCTTTATTCTTTAATCCAATGAAGCAGTTAAAATTTTCGGAGCATTATGATACTGAATGGGTAAACAAAATAAGCCACCAACTTGCTAATGATAAAAATAGTGATAATGGTGAAGAAGATTTCATATATAAAGAAGTTTGTATAAGACTTGTTAAAATCTAATGTTGATTTAGTAAATTTTATGGTTCGGATATTGATGAACCCGAAGAAAATGAAATTGACAAGTATCTGTCTTCAAAGATTTGATTTTAGACATTTTAGAATGACGGGAACCCTATCAAAATCAATATTATGTTCCAGTGCACATAGTGAAAGGAAGTTCAGTGCAGCTTGTTTTAACAATAGATGAAATTTAATCAAATTTAAATCCAACAAAATTTGATGCCTATTCCGGGATTGAATAAGGTTTTGGGTAATTAATACTGTGAAAATTTTTTGGGCTTGGGTTGGAATGTCATTCAATGGGGAAATAGGACAAAATGAAACATTGGAAAAAAACATTTTAGAATGGAATAAAGATAGTTCCATCAGTTGGATTCAGTTAAATATATGGAATAAAAAAATTCATATAAATATGTTTTTGATAAAGAAGCATAAAAAAGAAATTCTTATGGCAACCTAGATTTTTTTCAAAAAGATCCAAGTGAAAGAATTTGAAAATGAAATGTTTAATTACTAGTCGGATTATATCAAAAGCAATAATATTCAATATGATTTGAATTATTCATTTGTGAATCTCAAACATGGTTTTTCAAGAACTGTTTTTGATAGTTTTAATTAAAATTAAAGAAATAGTTGAATTAGTATGTGGTTGCAATCCTGTTTGTTGGAATGTAAAAAAAAAATCTCCAAATGAAAGGTATTTTTAAGGCTCTAAACAAATCAATGAAATTTGAATCGAATCACCTAATTTTTGTTTCATTTCATTCAAAACTATTGGATATATAAATAAATTAGTATGGTTCTCTTTGGTTTGGATTCGAATCAATATACACAAAATCTAATAAATAAATTAATTAATTCAAATGAAAATTGTTTTGCGAATCTTGTTTCAATGAATTATAATTAAAACTCGTTGAAATGACTATGTACAAAATAGTTATTGATTGAACACATATAATAATATAGAAAGAAGAACTTTCCCATACCTAAATGGTACATAACGCAATTTTGACCATCCCTATACGTAACCTTAACTGTTAAAGTTTCAAAACTCCATTGAAACATAAATCTTTTTTCATTTTTACGTTATGGTTCTTTTTATTGTCCTGACCAAAAATATCCCGCTCCGATTTTCATATTTTGGGTGCGGGAAAGTGTATTTTCCTGTATTAGTATTAGTATGTATTTCTCATCAAAATACATTTTATTTTAAAATTTGTATCAATATAAAAATCCGGACCCACTTTTTTTGAATCTGGCTCGATTCAATTCATTCGGATCCTTGGCTATACGTGTTAAATAATCGGTATTAACCGAAAGACCACTTTGCAATATCACCATTTGTAAGAATTAAAAGATTATTGTAATTATAATTTAGCTTTAAGAAATAAAATAAAGATAAAAATAAAGATGATAAATAATTATAACGAATGAATTTATAGTGAAGATTAAATTGGTCATTTATCAATTTATTCTTTTACTATTAATTAATTAAAAAATATTGTAGTAATCAATAATAATTTCCCAATTAATTAATATTTTAAAGAAAATAGTTACAATCAAGATTATTTAATGAACTATCGCTATTTTTTAAGCTTTTATATTTGGCAATTTCTTCATCTAAGATTCTACTTGTATGATATGCATCTGGATGCGATTTGTGTACTTGTTGCAAATTACTACCATCATTACCACTGTTGTTGTTGCTGCTGCTGCTACGATCATTATTAAAAACAATTTCAAGTTTTAAACAATCATTATCAAAAATTTCCTTCAACTTTTTTTCAGCGAAATCAAAAAGCTTTTTACTAGTTGGTCTTTTTGACGGATCCGCATCCCAACACCTCTGCATCGTTTGCACATAATCATCAGGCATTCCAGGTAATATTTGTGGTCGTAAACCTTCACATATATCAAAAATTAAACGATGATTGTGAGCCCTATTGTCAAATGGTGGATGACCTGCGAATATTTCCCACATTAAAATCCCAACACTATAAATATCTGTTTCTTTTGTATACATTGTATTAATTTTTCCTCTAAGCAGCTCAGGTGCAAGATATGATATAATTCCATAGATTTTATTTGATGATTTTTCATTAACTGGCCCACATAATCCTAAATCTGTAATATAACAATTACCTCCACTTATTAATAGATTACCACTATGTAAATCACAATGGATTAAATCTTTCCAATGTATATTATATATTGCCTTGCATAAATAATAAAAGATTGTAATTCTGTCTTTTAATGTTAAATTTAAATGGTTTTTTCGCAAATGACAATTCAAACTTCCATCTGATAAATAAGATAAAATTATTGCATAATTTCCATTATCTGGGAATTTAGTTATACCATAACAAGTAACAATCAATTGTGATTTAATTTTACAGTAATTTATTGCCTGAAATTGAATATAAAATCAATTAGTATTATATAATACAGTAGTATTGTTCAATTTTGTTTTAAATGGCAATTACCAACCTCATCAAAAAAGTTTTTTCCTAGATTATTTGAATTGTTTAAATTTTTTAATACTATCATTTGCTTTCCTAAATAACCAAATTCCTTTTTATTTTCATCATAATCAATTATTCTTCCTCTTGTCCATGTAGCAGTATAAATTGAACTAAATCCACCTTCAGTTAACTTTGTTATATCATCAAATTGCTCAAA